TATATTAGCAGTATTTAATCCTTTCAGACCTGTAAAGAATAAGAAAAACAGAAGGTAAATATTCTTACAGAGAGTCGCTGAGCTTTAAGGTTCATTTGATTAAAAGTCCTCATTTTGTTTTGCAAATACATTGTTAATGTTTAGAGGTTTTACTAATGTTATTTATTAATTTTTTCATTCTTGTATGCAGCCCACTAAAGAGCTTTTTTGTTTTGAATTTCATGCACCTGTGTCAGTAAAAAAACAAAACAAAGTTTTATTTTTAAATAAATTTCCTTTGTTGTAGCATCTCAGTGCGGTGGTGTTAATGACGTGCTTCATGGAATGTATTGCGCTTGAAACAATCACCAGCATGTTTTATATAACAGGGATAGAATCGGAGAGCTGGGAGAGACCTCAGGAGTCAAGTCCAGCCCCCACCCAAGGCAGGACCAATCCCAACAAGCCGAGACATAAACACCTCTAGGGATGGAGACTCCACCCCCTCCCTAGGGAACCCATCCCAGTGCTTCCCCACCTTCCTAGGGAAATAACTTTTCCTGATATCCAACCTAGACCTCCCCCACTGTAACTTGAGACCATTGCTCCTTGTCCTGCCATCAGTCACTACTGTGAACAGTCTCTCTCCATCGGCTTTGGAACCTCCCTTCAGGAAGTTGAAGGCTGCTCTCAAATCCCCCCTCACTCTTCTCTTCTGCAAACTAAACAGTCCCAAATCTCAGTCTCTCCTCATAGGTCATGTGCTCCAGCCCCCTCATCGTTTTGTTCGCCCTCTGCTGGACCCTCTCCAGTACTTCCACATCCTTTCTGTAGTGGGGGGCCCAGAACTGGACACAATACTCCAGATGTGGCCACATCAGAGCCAAATAAAGGGGAATAATTACCTCTTTGGATCTGCTGGCAATGCTCCCCCTAATGCACCCTAATATGCCATTCGCCTTCTTGGGTGCCCTGTTGATGCACATTCGAAGCTGAAAACTACCGCTGGAGGGGTTCTTACTAACCAAAGGGACTGATAAAAGATACCTAAGACTGTGTTACGGTTATTTGTCACATCCCCATACAAACTGGCTTTATTAGGGTGGACAGCTAAGGGCTGGTCAGCACTGGAAAAGATACACAGGTTGTACCTCCAAAATCTGGGACTTTCTGGTCTGGCAACATCCCTGGTCTGGCAGGACCACGGATGCTCCTGGAGTAGAGAGCCCTGGAGCCTAAGGGCAGGAGGGCCAGCTGTATGGGATATCAGCCAGCAGCCCAGCTGGGGGCAGCATGGGACTGGGTCTGAAGCCCTCCAGCAGCCCAGGGCCGGGACCAGAGCCCTGCGGCTTCCCTGAGCTATGTGAGGACGGCTTTGGGTCGTGTGGGGACAGGGCCTGGAGCCCTGCAGCTTCCCCTGGCTGTGTGGGACCAGGGTCAGAGTCCCAGCCCTACAGCTGCTCCTGGCTGCCTAGGAATGGAGACCCGCAGCAGGAGCCGGAGCCGGCAGTAGCTGGGCAAGCAGCCTAGCCAGGTTGGCTGTGGTGGGGCAAGTTAGGGTTGCTGGGGTAGCCTGCCAGCAGCCGATAACGGGCTTGGGGGCCGGTGGCAGGAGAATTCCCCATGTCCAGCACATGCTCTGGTTCAGGACCAGTTAGGTCCTGATGATGCCGGACTAGAGAGGTCCAACCTCTACCAATATAACTGAGTCTATCTGAGGAGGGGTGTGTGTGTGTGTGCGTGTGGAGAGGGGCTTTCCCACTGGCAGCATTATACGAGTACAAATCCTAGTTTGCATGAAGAGTTCCTGGCATAGGGCGTATTTCCTTCCTGAATTGGATCGGCCATACCAGGGTAGTTAAAACGGCAACACTCCAGTGTAGACCCGCCTTGGGATGCTGCAGGTTTGTCTTAAACTGTCCAGCTTTTCTGACACTTTCCTCACAGAACTTTGATTTCCTGCTAACATATGGAGAATCTTTTGTGGGAAATAGACAAAGAAGAGCTGGTAGCCAGCTGCTGGGATTACAGACAAACGTGCTCTTTAGGCAATGCAGATTTGTACCTGAGACCCCTCATTCTTATAAGAGACTAAAGAAAGGGGGGTGCATTCTGAACCTCTGACGAGTAGGGTCCTGCCAAATTCACAGCCATGAAAAACAATCTGTGACATCTGGTCTTGTGTGCTTTAACCCTGTACTGTACCGATTTCACAGGGGAGACCAATGTTTCTCAAATTGGAGGTCCTGACCCAAAAGTTTCATGGGAGTCATGTTGATGCCACCCTTACTTCTGCGCTGACTTTAGAGCTGAGGGGCCCAGCTCACCCTGCCAGAAGCAGCCTAGAAGTAAGGGTGGCAATTCCATGCCATGCCACCCTTCTGCATGGCTGCTGGCAACAGCTGTGCCTTCAGAGCTGGGCTCGTGGTCAGCGGCCACCACTGTTCAGCTGCCAAGTCTGAAGGCAGTGCAGAAGGGTAGTACTGCTACAACCCTTCCTCCCTCCCCCAACACACAACTCCTTTTTGGGGTCAGGCCCTGCAATTACAGCACTGTCACATTTCAGATTTAAATAGCTGCAATGGTGAAACTGACGATTTTTAAAATCCTTTGATCGTGAAATTGACTAAAACGGGCAGTGAATTTGGTAGGGCCCCTACTTATGCAAGATGACTGGCAACAGATCTTTCTTGAAACACTCGCATTTGTTTCACCTCAACAGCATTGCAGTTAACTGGTTCTAACCCATATTCAGAGCCCTGGTTCTGATGCCTTGAGTGGGAATGCAGGAATTGCTCTGAATCTATTTGTAAGCACATTATAAATGCAGTAGACAAATGAGCGGTGAAGAGAGGCGATGAAAGCACATTGAAGTCCTGCTTTCCAGTCCTGGTATACCATCTGCACCTGGGGAATGTTCCCACCCCTCACGGACTTCCCACCCCGTTGCTAATTGAGACAAAATACAGCCAGTCCTGGAAGTAGTTTGGCTTTTTATTTTCACATATATAAAAAAAACCCTGCAAATATCAGACAAACTCTTAAATTTACACACAAACCAACAAAAATATATATAAGAAAAGCTTTTGCTTCTGATATTCTAGCTCACAAGTACAGTTCACCCGTTTGGTCAATGCAGAGAGTCTCATTAACCACTGAGGAAATTGGGTGCATAGGAAAGGAGCTGCTATCATTTTGCCCAGTGTTAACGTAAGGCCGTTTTGTTGCGGAAGTGTTGGAGGAATGGAAAATAAAAGGCTGGTTAAGTAGCGCCTGGAGTATGTGTGTGCTTAGATGAAACAAGTTCTACAACTTGATTGCTTCTCTAATAGGAATTGAGAAGGAAAAGCAAGGGATTCCTCTCCCTGGGATGATGGAAGCCACACCAGTATATACTTGCAGGCAGGGTGTTATCCGTGAGGTTGGCTGCGTCTAGACTGGCAAGTTTTTCCGCAAAAGCAGGAAAAACTTGCCAGCTGTCTACACTGGCCGCTTGAATTTCTGCAAGAACACTGATGATCTCATGTAAGATTGTCAGTGTTCTTGCGGAAATGCTATGCTGCTCCCGTTCGGGCAAAAGTCCTCTTGTGCAAATGCTTTTACGCAAGAGGGCCAGTGTAGACAATGTGGTATTGTTTTGTGCAAAAAAGCCCCGATGGTGAAAATGGCAATCAGGGCTTTCTTGCGCAAAACCGCGTCTAGATTGGCACGGACTCTTTTCCACAAGTGCTTTTAACAGAAAAACGTTTCCATTAAAAGCATTTGCGGAAAATCATGCCAGTGTAGACGTAGCTGTTGTGTTTTGTTTGGTACTGGTGAGAGAGAGCACCAGTTCACTATTCTGTGGGAGCTAAGTTCTGTCGATTTCCCTTCTTGTTCACAGCTGGTACCTGTCACTAGGGGTGTAATAGTGTAGTCAATTAACCAATACATAAAAGCTTGTAGGTTAATGCTATAGACTACATGCATTTCTCCTCCTCGTCTCCTCTCTTTCCTCCCCCCTCCCCCCCGCCCCCAACCAAAGAGCACCAGTTCACTATTCTGTGGGAGCTAAGTTCTGTCGATTTCCCTTCTTGTTCACAGCTGGTACCTGTCACTAGGGGTGTAATAGTGTAGTCAATTAACCAATACATAAAAGCTTGTAGGTTAATGCTATAGACTACATGCATTTCTCCTCCTCGTCTCCTCTCTTTCCTCCCCCCTCCCCCCCGCCCCCAACCAATTTAGCAAGCTGGCCAGCAGCCCGGCTCAGTCCTGGCTTGCACCGGGGCTGGGACCTATG